CCCTCTGTACAGTATGTTCACAAAAAAAATAAAATTAAATTAAAAAAAAAGAATCTTAAAGCATCAGGACCTTGGCAGCATCTGTGATTATTTTTAGAAGTGAACTAAGACTCAGTTCATTTGGTTGTTTCTGATCATGTCTGGATATGAACTCAGATCTTTTTTCCCAAGTCAAGGCTCCTTATCCATGTACCTTTTTTCTTTTAGTGTATATGTGCACCCACAAGTAGAGGAGCACCTGTGCCTTTCCCTTTGCATTGCTGGCACAGGTGCCAAGTTGACTTAATCTGTTCATAATGATTATCTTTTCAATCAGGCTATCAATCAAATCTTGACTTTCATTCTTTTTCTTGTGAAGTCATATTTTTGTAGTTTAATTACACATAATATATTAATTGCACAAAGAAGTTGCATTGTCATATTTTTATTCATGCAAAAATATTTCTATTCCTCTTTCTCAATTTTTTCTTTTGTTAAGGAATATTGTCATTATTATGATTCCATGCACACATATTAGATGGTTTAACATCTTCACTCTGTTTATCCCTCTGCTTTGAATTTCCACCGCTGGTCCTTACCCCTGAACAGTTCTTGTTTTCTTTTTCTATCATTCATTTCTGAAGGATGAGATTCTGCATATGTGACAATGTACTCTTCAACTCTTAATACTTAATAATACAAAATTCTGAAAAACATTTTTAGGATATAAATCTGTACATCACATCTGAGAGTTGTTGTGTGGTCATCCACAACATTTGTAGGGCTGTCAACCTAGAGAGTTCCTTCATGGTGACCGTGTGTCTTGGATTCAATTCTGTGCCTTGTACTTGACCTCATCTAACTTCTCCAAAGCACTATGGTGACTGTGATGCAGATTCTTTCTTCTAACTAACTTTTGGATTATCCCATGACTTGAAGGTAGAAAATCCATCTTTAATAGTGGATTTGTGGTGTATGAACCTAGGAAAGTCTAAGACTTCTCATGCATTTTTTTTGGTGCCAACAGTGTTGACAGTCTGCCCTATTGTCCTGGAGTGGGGAACATGTAAAATGCCCAAAATACAAAATTAGCAAGTAAGACAAAATAGAATAAACACTCTTCATGATGCAATAAAAATCTATCAGTACTCACCCTGAGGCATTGGTAGTAGTGTAATGGAAAGAATTCTAGACCACTGAAGGCCACTCAACCTATTATTTATGGGTCCAAATTCTATTGGAGACAACAGACCTGGTCCATGACCACCAGGGCCAGGCCCACATCAGCCACAGTGCACCAGTACTTGCCCCAAAGAAGAGCCAAAGTCCATTCACTTATTCTAAACCAAAAATCAAGCTCTACTTTCAGCTTCCATGTCAAGTAGTGAACAATGTGTTTGTGGTGAATTCTGAAGATATAGCTAAACACCCACTTCCGGCTTTTGTCATCCTGATGGAGAAGCAGGATTGCTTCCTAATAGCACAAAAGACACACTCAAGACTTGTCTTTATTATTTATTCCAGGTGATTTGTACACTGGCTTTTGTTCAGGAACAAT